GCGGAAGGGAGGGGGGAGAGAGGGATGGTTTCGTGGGCGTGTCTGCCATTTACACAAATGGAGCTTCGCGCGTGCGTGTACTTGCCCACCACTCGCGTGGCTCAGTTCTCAACAGGCCACGCTCCAGTACCGGGCCATGGACTGGGGGACCCCTGACATAACAAAATCAGTAACTTGACTTTGACTGGAACTTACAAAGCTGTATGTAAAGCATGAGCTACCTATATGTGCAAAAAATCAATTTACAGTGGTACCTCGGTACTCATCGTTAATTGGTTCCTGGAGGCGCAATGAGTACCAAACAAATTTTTCCCATAGGGAATAATGTGGTGAGTCACAAGGCAGCTGAGACTGACAAGTTCTAACTTGTGCATTGATTACCAAACAAACAATGAGTACCGGGACAAAATTTTCACATTGAAATGGGTTGAATACCAAATTCAATGAGTTTCAAAGCAGTTGAGTACTGAAGTACCGCTGTACTTCAGGTTTTATAAAAAATACATACATACATACATATACTGTATGTATGTTTTCAGAACAATTTCACTGGAGCCAATTTCTAGAAATTAAAAGCCCAATATTTTTTCAGAACAATTTCATTGAAGGCCACTTCTAAAACATTAAAAGCACGGTGGACCTCATTAATTGATACGATTGTTTAACTTCTTCTATGTTTTGCCTTACAATTCGTTTTATCACATTGTTTCGTCCAGAGTATTTGGTTCAATTGGTTAATATTTTAAAAAATATATGCAAGAGAACTCCGCCAATAGGTCAGGCAATCCCTAATTTGAAATTATTTCGGCTTTAAGTTCTATATTCTGTTGCTACCATTTATTAAGCAAAATAGTAAATGAACTACATCATTAATCAGAATAGTGAATGGACTTTTCCTCTTATAGTTGTAACATTCAGACATGCAGAAACGTAAACTCTAAATTCAAGCTAAGCAATCTATTGCTTGCACTCTGGACTGAAAACAGATGAACGTTTTCAGATACCCCCCACCACCCCCTTGTATATCAGGAGCATCCAACTTTGGCAACTTTAAGACAGATACACTTCAACTCCCAGAATTCCCCAGCCAGCCATCCCTGCTCTAAGACTTCTAAATTATACTTCCTTTAAAAAAAAAAAAAAGAGAGAGAGATAATATTTTCTTCGGAAGATGATGCATTTGGAAAGAAATATTGCCTAGGCAGAGATTTAACTTTTAATGAACACAAGAAAAAAATAAAGCTATTGTCATTATGAAACAGTATGTATAAAAAATGCATTATTTTCAAGAATCATAAAAACGGAATGCTTTTTCTCGTAAACCTAGACCAATATTGAATAGTTTGGATCTGAGTATATTAGATGTACAGATAATTGATAAACTGAATCAATATCTCTACTTAAATGCATTAAATTAAAATGAAGAATCAATTGGTTCATTTCTTGAAACACTGGTACCTATATTCTGCGCATTAGACAGCCATTTTATTTCCATCTCAAGGGTAAAAGACCATCCTAGACTGCACAGTAATTACGAGTGTTTAATTAACTGACAGACCAAAATAGAAATTATTAACTTTTGGAAAGAGAAAGACCCAAAAAACTACTCAACACAACCTCCTGAAATCTCATACTTCCCCTTAACTTTTATCTTTGCGAAATAAAAAAAAGTTTTTTCAGAAGTTTCAGAGGCTGAAAAAAAGGAAGGCACAGAGTTCACAACCAACCAACCTGTTGCTAAAATTCACCTCTGGAAACAGCTGATTGGGGGTATTCCAGGAGGCCTATCCACCTGCCAATCAGCTTTTTTCTTATTTTCCTCCCCAAAAACTAAGGTACGTCTTATACTCCGGTGCGTCTTATACTCCGGTGCGTCTTATACTCCGAAAAATATGATATTTCGTTCCATGCAGATTTATTAAAGAGTGCTTATGAAATTTTATTAAGTACATTTATACAGGAGCCCAACTGACAAATAATTGGCTCTTGGAGGCTCATATAGCATTCAAATGAAGACATTTGTTCGTTACCCAATTCAAAGGGGTATCCAGATATGGCGTTATTCCTGCTGCCTTAACCTCTATAACGGAAGCCAAAACTGTTATTGTGTTAGCACTTTAACTACTAGGCTGGCAGTTTTACTTTCTGAGAGTTTGTACTTTTCAAAATGACTTTTATTTCTGGAAATTCTGCAACAGGCTTCGATAAAAAACAATAAAATATTCTATAGTGCTCTTAAGGAGCAGCAGTACATCAGTTCGCATAAAATGTGCGGCATTTCATACTTTGAAAACAGCTGCCATTATGTGACTAGGCATTATGTGAGAGAGGAAGCTATTGAAGAAGGAGCTGTCACACTACTATGCCATGGTTAAACACATACTATTTCCCACATGCTATTTTCCCAAATGGTGTAAGAATGATATCACCAAATGCCAAGTAAACAAGCTTTAGCAGATCAAGATTGAAAAGACTTAAGGAACTGATGCTCAAAATTCTCTATAATTGGCTATTATTGAAATCTCATAAATGGATTCTTTGATGTAACTTTGGAAGTGGCGTGATTAGAATGTGCAGAAATGAACAGGTTAACATTAAGAGTAAAAGATAAAGAGGGATCGGTGTACTTCAAGACATGGGGACGTTTTTATGATTGGCTAGCAAAGGAATATGAATAAAAATAAATGAGAGAACAAAAATAGAAATCCAGATGACACCTGAGTAAATGAAAAAGGGGGAAGGAGGGGGAAAATGAAAAAAGAGGTACTATATAAATGTACGTTAAGGATGATATATGTCTAACCAGCAAAATAGAAAAGAAATTGAAAGGAAAATGTGGGTAAATATAAGATTGGGGCTGCTCGAATACCATCTTGACAAAATATTGAATTGAAAAGGGACACAACAACAGAGAGGGAAGGGAGAGAGGAGTAGAGGGACAGGTAGGAAGGAGCGAGGAGAAGGGAGGAAGAGAGAGAGACAGAAGAAACGGAAAAGGAGAGGAAGAAAGGGAGGGGAAATAAGAGTAGGAGAGAAGGTTAGAAAGAGAGGAAGAGGGGAGGAGTAGGGGAAAGGAAGGGGAAGGAGAGGAGGAAAGAAGAAAGTTGAAAAGAATAGAAGAAGGGAGGGAAGGGGAAGGATACTGTAAAATCTCCATTCCCTCCCCACTCCAGGGGAAGAATACTGCAAAATCCCCATTCCCACCCCACTCCAGGGGAAGGATACTATAAAATCTCCATTCCCTCCCCACTCCAGGGGAAGGTTATTGCAAAATCCCCATTTCCTCCTGATCAGCTGGGACTCGGGAGGCAGAGAATAGATGGGGGCGGGGCCAGTCAGCATTTTTACTACCGGTTCTCCGAACCACTCAAGATTTCGGCTACCGGTTCTCCAGAACTGGTCAGAACCTGCTGAAACCCACCAAAGTCACTGAAATTTGGATGTCAATACAGGATTCATACTGGGCTCTGAGTTTCCAGACCTACCGCAAACATAATTTCTTGCATTCTTGATTTTTTTTCATCTACCCCATAAAAATACCTTCCACCACAAAAATGGAACCACACCTTGAGGTTGGACCAATGCCATAACTGCATTGACGTGAACTGTTTCTGAATTCAGATGCAGTAAGAAGCATCAACCATAGCTTCCAAGTCACCGTTAATGGTGCAATGGGACACTCTGGAAGCGGAGAAAAATTTGGTTAGAAATCTCCGATTTCCTTCCTGATGGGTAGGAAAGCATCAAACAGTCTGAAACACGGGTTAAGTTATTTGAAAGCAATTCTCTGGTACATTATTAACTAAAGCTTAAAATAAATATAGATATAGATATAGATATATAGATACCTACCAAAGTATCAAGAGAAAAAGGTCTCTTTGGCCTCCGTGCGTTCCATGTGACTCCTAATAAAAAGAAGAAAATGGTGGGGGTTTTTTACTAATTCAAGAAACTCCACTTTTCTAAAAATCTAAAATCAGAAGAACAAATCGTAAACCATGAACACCAGAATTAAAAGACACCAAGCCAACAAAAAAGGAATAAGGTTTAAGGGGCAAAAAAAAACATCTCTTCATGTTTTGAGTTCTTAGTTACATTATTTTGTTCATAAATTCTAGGATTTACAAGTTACTAGTTATGATGTTTTACATTGGTTTAATCATGAAGACTTGGCTCCAATTAAACTGACTAAGGCTTTTTCTTTTTTTTTTTTAGGTACTAGTACAAATTAAACTTTTTAAGATGAAATTTTAGGTGGTTGATCTTAAAAGCCTCTCTCTGTAATCTAAAATAAAACGGTGGTAATTGGTAACGCTTCCCTGCTTTTATGGGTTATATTAAGATAAATTAAGTGAGATTAAAATTTTATTTGATTTATTTACCTTTTGCAAATGAAGACCGTTTTAAGGGTTACATCCTCAGCCTCTGACGAAAAGCGACCGCAATTAGTCATGTCAGAAAATCTTTAAAAGCTTTGAGTTTATTGCTTCCGGCACGAAGTGAGGTTGTCATTAAGGTATCAAAACTCTCAGAAAACAACAACAACAACAAAAAAAAATATTCCAAAGTTGCACTAATGAAGAAATTGCTCAACAAGATGAAAAACTAAGTCACAGGTTATTTTTTTGATTGATTCTCTGCGTTGTTTTTTTAATTTATCTGATTCAGAAAATGCATTAGCTATTTTAAAACAAGAATATATATATATATATTTTTAAAGTTGGAATCCAGCCGCTCAATACCGTTTGGATACTTCCTTTAACAACTCTTTATATCTATATTGTGTGCATAAATGGAAAACAACAGAGAGATAGCTACAGTAAACGTAAGGCACCTTTAGGTTTTTACCATTTTTTTTTAAAAAAAACCAAAAATAGCTGAAACAGATATTTTAAGAGGAACCATTTTATGCTGATCGTGGTTAAAAAAAAATCACTCCTTCCCTGTTTACAACTATTTATTAAGGTTTTTAAATAAATAATGCATACTCTCACACACACTGATTTTTCTTTCAAAAGTTTATTTAGTATCAAGCAAGAATAAACTTTGCTTAACACTACAGAACATTTCAAGACTCAAATTACAAAATACCACATTATTTGCATTTGTGATCTTTCCCTTTTTTTTTTTTACGCATGTTTTGCAAGAGAAAAAACTAGCAAAATAGTTGAAAGGTAAAACTAGAGAAGAACTTAATTGTTGAAAACCTTTAAAATAAAAGGTTACGCTTAGGTTAAAATAATAGATTAACATGTTTAGTAAACCTAGCTGTTTTTAACACTAGTTAAAGGTTGTTTTTTTTTTCCTTTTTGTATTTCTTTTTTTTTTTTTGATCACCTATTTTCCTTTTTTTTTTCCTTCCCTCCCACCCTCTCCCAAATACAATCCAGAAATAAGAAAGCTCATTTCACATGTCTTCCTTCCTGTACAGGTTTTTCAGTCAGCAAAAAATAGATTAAGCTCAGTCCGTCCATTCAGATTAAGCACTTTGATTTTAATAAAAAGGGATTGTTCATAGAAAAAAATTACTTTGAACAGTTTACAGGACTGGTGGAGATTGGGCAATTCACAACATCGGACAGAATAATCAGTATCTTGCATATGGCTGCTCTCTGTAGCTTCCTTTTGTTGACCTGGCCGAAGGAGCCTTGTGTCTTGCGTTGGTCCAGTCTTCCTGTCCTGAAATCACAAAGTTTGGAAAAGGGGGTAAGGCGTTTTCTACCAAGCTTCAAGGTGAACATTTATTTTATTTTTCCCAAGATGGAGCAGGAATGGGTGAGGGGGAAAAAACATTCAACATCCAAAAGGAAAGATTTTTCACCCTTCCACGGTATCTTTTCCTTTGTCCTCATCAACCCCCGAAACACAAATTGCATGGGATTTCTGAACAAAAATTCAAACCTGGCTCAGAATGAGGATGCAGACCTCAACCTGAAGTCTCTGTAAAAGCTAGGCCCAAGCTTCATTCTTCAGTGGCAGCCAAGCTGTAGGCCACAGAATTACACTGGTACTCCTCTCCCCTCCTTAGCAACAGTTAAAAGCTGCCCTTTTTCCTGGTATAGAGTTGCGAGATATCTGTTTAATCCCATGAGAGCAGCATGCCCCAGAGTCCTCCCTTTCCGCCTTCCTTCCTGTCCTTCTCATCTTCCTTCCTTCCCCCTTCTCCTCCCATTTTCCTTCCTGTCCCTCTCACCTTCCTTTCTTCCGCTTCCTCTCATCTTCCTTTTCTTCTCCTGTCTTCCTTCCCTCTTCCCCTCCCATTTTCCTTCCTGTTCCTCTCACCTTCCTTTCTTCCCCTTCCTCTCTCTCTCCTTCCTTCCCCCTTCTCCTCCCATTTTCCTTCCTGTTCCTCTCACCTTCCTTTCTTCCGCTTCCTCTCATCTTCCTTTTCTTCTCCTGTCTTCCTTCCCCCTTCTCCTCCCGTTTTCCTTCCTGTTCCTCTCACCTTCCTTTCTTCCCCTTCCTCTCTCTCCTTCCTTCCCCCTTCCCCTCCCCTTTTCTTTCCCTTCCCTCTCCCCTCTCTTTTCCTCTCTTCCTTCTACTTTCCCCTCCCATCTTCCTTCCTGTTCCTCTCACCTTCCTTTCTTCCCCTTCCCCACCCTTTCTCTCTCTCTCCTTCCTTCCCCCTTCTCCTCCCATCTTCCTTCCCGTCCCTCTCACCTTCCTTTCTTCCCCTTCCTCTCTTCCTTTTCTTCTCCTCTCTTCCTTCCCCCTTCCCCTCCCATCTTCCTTCCTGTTCCTCTCACCTTCCTTTCTTCCCCTTCCCCACCCTTTCTCTCTCTCTCCTTCCTTCCCCCTTCTCCTCCCATCTTTCTTTCTGTCCCTCTCTCCTTCACTCCCTCCCTCCCAAGAAAAGAATAGAAAAAAACCACATAATGGTACCATTCTACTCATCTAAACCACTTCAAATAATGTAAAACATCAACAATAAAATCGTTAATGGGATGGCCCATTTTTTTGCTCATCGTCCAAAAGGAAGCAAAGATGGATGTAGGTGTATCCCCACCTTGGAGAAATCATTCCTGACTGGGGTATCCCAGCCTCAAATGATTCTTCCTGTAACTACACATATGAGAGTGCAAAGATCTGTAATGTAAGTGCATAATAGGAGTCTTGATAGTGCAGTGGTTAAGCTGCAGTATTGCAGGCTAACTCTGCCCACAGCCTGGAGTTCGAATCCTGACAGAGCTTGAGGTTGACATAGCTTTCCATTCTTCTGAGATTAGTAAAATGACGACCCAGAATGTTGGGGGTAATATATCGATTCTGTAAACCGCTCAGAGAGGACTGTAAAGCATTATGGGCCGGTATGTTAAGTCCGAATGCTATTGCAATAAATGATTCTTGACTCTTTTCTTTACTATTCCCAGCTCAGTCCCTGTGCATGAGGTGGGAGAAGAACAGGAGAACTGAGACTTGAGATGGTGTCAGCAGAAGTAGGGGGAAGACAGCAATGACTCACTCCCTGTTTGCACCAAGCACACCGTGAGCTCAGGGCTAAAATGTTCGCCTGCAAGAAGGCAAACAGGGGACAACTCATACTGATGTCAGAGCATGGAACAATCAAAGCTCTGAAGTCTACGGAGACCAATTTAGCATGTTGCAAGGGGGAAAAAAGAGAAAGCTTCGGTAACTTTTCAGAGAATCGTGTAATCAACTGCTTCCCCCTCAAGGTGACTTAAGAGTCATTTAAACCTGTGACATGGAGACAGCTTGCACTGTAGAATAATTTACTGTATCACGACAAACTCCCCAAGTTAAAAAGGATGGGTGCTTCAGTTGAGAAATGCTGTTTAATCCCCTCTTACCTACAAAGAGCCCCAGGGAAACAGGAAATTCAGTCTTGTTTCCCCCAACGTCTAGCAATTAGCAGGGAAATCTGCAGTAACTCCCTCTGACAACAAGCAAAATATGGGTGTGTGTGTGTGTGTGTGTGTAATTGTCTTCATGGGTGTGAAGGTGTCACTCTCAGTCCTGGTTGAAATTTCGAGTCCCCGATATCTAGCCACAATTTTAAACTTTTCATCTGTTTCCCCACAACATCTTGGAACATCCTTCATCCGATACCTCTAGTCTATTACAATCTTTAAAAATTCAGCTTTGAGCTCCCCAAATCTTTGCTTTTTGTTTCATTTCATTTCATGGCTGGCTGGGGAATTCTGGGACTTGAAGTCCACACAGCTTAAAATGGCGGAGGTTGAGAAACATTGCTAGAGATGAAGAGGAGTTGTTCCGTATTCCGTCGTACCTACGCCATCCAATTTAGTGCAATGGGCAAATGCCTTGGCCAAAGTTCCTCACATGGTCAGCCATTTTGGTATCCACCTCCCACTCAGGGATGAAATCCAGCAGGTTCTGACAGGTTCTGGAGAACCGGTAGTGGAAATTTTGAGTAGTTCGGCAAGTACCACCTCTGGTTGGTCCCAGAGTGGGGTGGGAATGGAGATTTTGCAGTATCTTTCCCCTGCCATGCCCACCAAGTCACGCCAAGCCCACCAAGCCACACCCACAGAACCAGTAGTAAAAGAATTTGGATTTCACCACTGCCCCCCACTCTCCAGTTTGGCTGGCGACATGGTAAATTTAACTTCCTAATCACTCCATTCTGGGACTGACCCCAGAATTCTCTGCGGTATAAAATGGCAAATTGAAAGGATCACAAAGCAGTGTCATATAAGCTAGTCCAACTACAGCTCAGTGGAGGAATTTAAATCCAGAAATCCTGAATTGGAGCAATCTAACCTTTACAATAACCATATAAGATAAAAATAAATCCCACTCACTCCCATATCTGTGTTGGAAACTAACATAGCTAACTTTGTTAGAACTCAGAATCTGCCTTCCTGTAATTTCAAACTCTCCTTTTGCATATACCGCATGCCGGAAAAAAGAGAGACAGAGAGAGAAAACATGCCTTCAATAATTTCATCTCCATGCATAATTAATTCCCATTTTCAATAATAATGACAACATGGGGCATTATTACTCTGGGAAACGTACGGTAGCCATCACCCCTTTTTCTACATCAAAGTAGAATTCCAGAATATTAAAGGTACTCACTGTAAGAATCGTACGTCTCATCGTTCAAGCCATGGGCATAGTCATAGTAATCGCCACCACTGTTTGAAAGAAAAAGAAAATATATTCATTCATCTGGTTACAAGACAGAATGAAGCTGACCCTACTTAGCAGCTACATTTTTTGAAGGTCTTTCAAAAGAGCCTGTAGTACAGTGGACTAAAGCACTGTTATTAACATCTGCTGCTTGCAATTACTGCAAGTTCAAATCTCACCGGGCTCAAGGTTGGCTCAGCCTTCCATCCTTTCAAAGGTAGGTGAAATGAGGACCCAGATTGCGGGGGCAATAAACTGACTTTGTATAAATATACAAAAGTATGAAGGCGATTGCTTAACGCATTGTAAGCCGCCCTGAGTCTCCGGAGAAGGGCGGCATATAAATTAAAGCCAAAAGAAAAAAAGAAAAAAAAAAAGCAGCAAGAAGACATTGGTGAGCATTGCATATTGACACACTGAACTCTGAGCATACCTGTCTCAGGTGACCCTAAATATATATACCAAATTTATATTTGTTGATAAAGAAATAAAGGGAGACTTTATCAGCAAATATAAATTTGGTATAAAATGGTTTGTCATGAATGCGACTGATTGAGGGCTCCTGGATTGGAGCTGGAAGGTGAAAGGGAAGCAGTATGCTCCCTCCCACATGTTGGGGTAGACCAGGTACTTTGATAGAAAAACACACACACACATATATATAAACACACCCTTTGAAGTAGACCATGATGTATAGGCAGACCTGTTGTTTGAACTTGCTGTCCACCAGATGTTTCTTCACAGTTGTCCCCAAAACCTCACTACACAGGCCAAAGGGTAGGAAGACTTGGGAGGTTTACCCAGGTAAGTATTAAAGAGCTCCAAATTCAGGTGGCTAAAGGTATTCATTTTAAATACGTATAACAGTTCTTTGGTTTTGATTCCAAGGAGAAGCACAACGCCATAAGAGAAATCAAGTTATGATTTAAAAAAAAAAAAAATCACGTACAAAAAATGTGCTGACTTGATAATGCTTTAAAATGGCCACGGTGCTCAAATAAAGATGGAATTGTCTTTAAAAATAAATAAAGGCAATTCTAGTCCGCAGAAAGATTACTTAGTGGAAAGTCGAATGCCAAAGTGAGCAAGTAAGCGAGCGAGCAAGAGAAATGAGCGGCTTGTTGCCTGCTTCTTCTCCAAGTAGAGATGAAGGATGAAGAGTTTTCTCCTGCTGGTGTTGTGGTGTAATGTGATGGGGGTTAGTGGCTCATAAAGAGGTGTGTCAGTTGCTGGTCATCATCTCAGAGGAGGCACTAATGGCTCTTCAACTAACTGCACGTCTACTTTAGGCCAACCTGGTCCATGATGCCAGATAACGCCTTGCTCTACTGAATCTTTAGATTCTTTTCAGCAATAAAAAAAAAATTGAATAGGAAGCGATCAAGACTAATCTGCTGTGACTGGTCCCATCCATCACTCCAACTTTGCTGGAGTCCCCATCATATGCTGTCAGGTCAAATGTGTCCTCTGACTTGAACAGGCTGGGCCCTCCCTGCTCTACACTTCTGCCTTGTTAACCAAGGCAGATGTTAAAGCCTTGCAGATGGGAACTTTTGAAACTAAGATGTGCCTTTGACATAAGCTCCTGGGTTGAAAAGGTCTTGGACCCCAAGAAGAGTGAGGCCCATATCACATGCAAAAGGATGGGGGTGGGCTTTTCGGGAAGGGGAAGGATCTGAATAAGAGTTTCTTTGTTTTACTAGATTCAGCTAATTTTAAGGATGTAGCTTTCAGGTGGTTCCTCATCAGAAAATAGGAGGAAATCAAGCCACTATATTCAGCAATCAGTTTGGGGTAGTAGTGAAGGTACTGGCTTTGAAAGCAGGAGGTGGTGAGTTGTAATCCCGCCTTAGGTTTGAAAGCCAGGCTGGGTGATTTTGGGCCAATCACTAGGAGAAAGTGAGTTCTAGTCCTGCCTTAGGCACGAAAGCCAGTGAGTTGGGTCACTTTGAGACAATCACCAGGAGAAGGTGAGTTCTAGTCCCACTTTAGGCATGAATGTCAGCTGGGCGACTTTGAGCCAGTCACTTACTCTCAACCTAACTCACCTCACAGTGTTGTTGCTGTGGGGAAAATAGGAAAAGGAAGGAATATTTTGTGTGTTTGCATTATTTATAACAGGAAGGAAGGAAGGAGAGAAAGGGAGAAAGGGAGAACGGAAGGAAGGAAAGAAGGAAGGAAGAACGAACTGGTCATCTCTGCCTTAACTTTCTCAAGGAAGGAAGGAAGGAAGGAGAGAAAGAAAGAAAGGGAGAACGGAAGGAAGGAAGGAAGGAAGGAAGGAAGGAAGGAAGGAGAGAAAGAAAGAAAGAAAGGAAGGAAGGAAGGAAGGAAGGAAGGAAGGAAGGAAGGAAGGAAGGAAGGAAGGAAGAACTGGTCATCTCTGCCTTAACTTTCTCAAGACAGGAAGGAAGGCAGGCAGGCAGGAGGGAAGGAAGGAAGGAAGGAAAAGTAGACTGCAGGTGGCCGGATGCTTGCAGGTTGCTAAATCCTGCCTTGGCCCATGAGCTCTAAATTAAAGGTAATATTCCCAAATGTCAGTTTGCTCCTCAGGAATGTTCCAGATATTCTCCAGCAGGCTCCTGCCAGATGAATCAGCACTGCATATTTGCAATTTTGAATCTGTAATCAGCACAGTCTACCATTTTCCTCTCTGCTGCAGGAGTTGTGTTTTTTTGAGCAGAAAAGCAACATTTATGGCCCGGGGCCATGAATTGGACGCTTCGTTAGCTCATTAAATGCAACCATTCTCGCTCTGCATGGTAGCCGCCCTCCCCTATGGAAAGCACATGAGATAACTATCAGTACTACAAGGATGTGGGAGCCCAAGAGACACCGCTGCTAATCTACTCCATAAAGAACTCCCAACCAGAATTATGGAACACAGTCTGAACAGATTTGCAGGAGAAGAAAACGCCAACACTGTTTTTGACTCACAAAACTTTATGTTCCCTCCCCCCCACCCCTTCCCATCACACCAAGATGCTCATATCTTGACGGAGACCTTTGCAGTGACAGTTGCTATTCCTTCCCTACAATATCTTGATTACTTATTGTAGGAGCCATCAAGGCTGGAAGCGTCAAGCAGCTGAGCCCCTCTTCCACTCCCTGTCAATCCTGTCAGAATTATTTTGGCCGGGCTTCGTTTCACAAACCCCAAAGCCTGTTAAAGTAAACATGACTCGCCTCTCGTGGGCATGTAAACAGCAAAACCAATAATCCTTGGAAAGGAAGAAAAATCACTTATTTACATTGAAGGTGTACGAAAAAAAGCCCACAAATGTTATTAGATGACAGACCCTTCACCCACGGTAATCGTATATATATATAAAAAGAAGTAGTAACTCAAAGTGATTGCTGAGACTACATTTTGGTGGGTTCACCTCAGCCTGGAGGGGAGCAGCATCCTGCTTGGGTAACCCTCGGCAGACCGAAGACAACCTGGCTTATTAAATTATAAAACCTCTTTTGCTAAATAGTCTGTAGAGATTCTCAGTCATCCAGGTTGTCCCCAAGGTGCTTTTTCAAGAACCAACTGGACTTTATGTTTTTTTTCTTTGAAGACATTTCACTTCTCATCCAAGAAGCTTCTTCAGCTCTGACTGGATGGTGGGGGAATGGAAGGATTTATATTCCTTGCAGACAGCTGGTCATTTGTATCCTTTTAAAGGGTCGTTGAAGCACCTGAGTAGGAATATAAATGCAAGGAATACAAATCCTTCCATTCCCCACTATCCTGTCAGAGCTGAAGAAGCTTCTTGGATGAGAAGCGAAACGCCTTCAAAAGAAAAAACAAGGAAATCCAGTTGCCTCCTGAAAAAGCACCTTTAGCACTCTTTTGCTAAATATTAGGTTATTTACCTACGAGACCGTCTTTTGCCACCAATAGCCTCCCACCGACCAGTTCGTTCTCATAGGGAGGGACTACTCAAGGTACCGTCAGTCAAATTATGCCGACTGGCGACTCCCAGGGGGAGGGCCTTCTCTGTGAGGGCTCCAACCCTTTGGAATGAACTGCCCCCGGAGGTACGAAATATCCCTGATCTCTGTGCTTTCCGCCGTGCCCTCAAGACCCTGATGTTCCAACAGGCGGGGCTAAACATATGAACATGTGAATGTTTTTAAAATGTTATCTAATTTTAGGTTCTATTTAATTGGGCCAAACTATGTTATAATAATAATTTTAATTAGCAATTTTATGAAGTTTGTGTATCTATTTTTCTTAACTGTACACCGCCTTGAGTCCTACGGGAGAAAGGCGGTATAGAAATATAATAAATAAATAAATAAATTTAAGGAAGCTGCAACCCACATAGGAAACTATAGCTAGGTGACTGATTCCTGGGTTCAATGACCAGGTGAGAATTCTCTTCTTGCCTAACAGCAGGCTCACAAAATGTATTTGTGTCTCTTGTATTTTTGCTATCACTTCAGAGCCTCCTGAAATTATATTTTTAAGGAAGGGCCTGTTGCAGAATAAAGCTCTTTGCGCCCTGCTCAGCGAAACTGTGACGTTCCCGCCTGTGACTACAAGGGCTGTTATCATTTTTCTCGATAAAATAATTTTGGTCAGAGGGAAAAAAATACTCGGCAGGTAGTTCTGCAGTTTTTGTTGCACAAGGCCGAAAGACAGACAATGAGGGGCCAAAAGGTGTAAGCAGAAAGGCTGTTGGAAATTGACAGAATCTGCAAATCCGGAAAGCAGCGTGGTTAGAAGACGTGACTAAGTGCTGAAATCATTTCTTTTTAATATGGGGCATTGGACGTTTCTCTTGTTGTTTTAGTTTCATTTCAGAAAAAAAAAAAACAGAAGTTAAAAGTTGCTGCCATTCTCAGTGGAAAACACAACTAGGACAGAGAACATACAGGAAGATCTTGACTTATGACGATAGAGCCCAAAATTTAAGTTGCTAAGTGGAACATTTCTTAAGTGAGTTTGCTCCGTTTTACGACTTTGCTTGCCATGGTTGTTTAGTAAACCACTGCATTTGTTAAGTCAGTAACA